TTGTCTTTTGGACTTCCTAAAAGGATCTGTAGTGTATGACTTGTTTTAAAAATCACCTTCATGCCTAGGTCCTTGAAAATCCTTTCCAAAGAACTTTGGAAAGATTTTCAGTCGTTCATCATATTTCGCAACAAAACCATTTCATAGACTTCAGTTCATTAAGATTAGTTAGACAAGTTAACAACATCAGGCATCTAGATGCCTATGAAAATGTAGAAATAAGTAAACATAATAATATTATGAATAATAATGGTGGACCAATACCTAATAGTATACTGTATAGCTTGTTGAAATATTTTAATTATTACATTTACCTGACTATTACATAAGGACACATTGTAAAATTAATTTAAGACTAGTAGATAAGGCAATATTATGAAATTGATTTAAGACACATGAGATGCAGGTACCTAGAACAATCTATGAAAAAAAAATGTGCCACCGTCCGAAATTTGAAAGAATTGAGCGTCGCAGTTTGGCCTCACCTACCATACTCCCCAGACCTCTCGCCAGACTAGCATCTTCTCAAGCACTTCGATAATGTTGGTTTACAAAACGCAGTGCTTGCTGAGAGGTCAATAAACATCAACATCAATTGCACGATATTTATTTATTTTTAATTGAATAAACTACTACTACAACTATTGTGCAATTGATGTTGACGTTCATTGACCTCTAATTTAAGGTATTTCATCACACCAAAAAAGGACATTTTAAATTTTCAAGATGGCTAACAGATCGGCGTCTTTTGAAAAATTTGATATTGCACAATTTGAAGGCAAGGATTTTGATCACTGGAAATTCAGAATGGAATGAATAGATGAACAGATAACTTTCTCATCGGTACGACTTGGTTACGTTGACAAAAGTACACTGATTCGAATGACGCTTATTTTGATTAAATTGAATAAGTATTCAGTGAGATAGGTAGGTATATCACAGTTTGAAGTAGACTCAAAAGCAGACAAAACTTTCAAAATAACCTAAATGTAATATATAAAATTCCCGTGTCACAGTGTTAGTTGCCATACTCCTCGGAAACGACTTGACCGATTTTTATGAAATTTCATATGTATATTCGGTAGGTCTGAGAAAAGGTTTTAATCTATTTTTCATACCCCTAACTTATAAGGGTGTTCCCCTCCAAACTTTTTTTATTTTGTCTACAAATTTATTTGTTTTATTTTTTTATGATGTGGCATTGAGAAATACATATAACCCTCAATGTTTGCCCTTCTATCATCAACCACTATTTTCAATAGCCATTTTAGTAATCTAATAATTTAATTCCCGCCAGGCGTATACCGGTCTCCTGTCTCTTTCACACAATAAGCACAGTTTTCGGCCACTATTATTGTTCATCCATCGAGCGTAGATAAAGCTGTGAGTTATTCAACAGTTACTCATTGATTTTGCCAGGCATGCCACCGCATAATTTACAACTGAAGGTTGGATCGCTCCGTAATTTGAATCCATCACGGCTGTGCAACAACACGCGATTAGTCATTGAAAATTTAAATGAAAAACGTCGAAGACAACATTTTAAATGGCAAGTTCCAAGATGAAAATATAATTATACCACGAATCCCTATTATACCTACAGATGTGCCAATTAATTTAAAACGGGTATAATTTCCAATTGTATTGGCATTTGGTATGACTATTAATAAGTCCCAAGGCCAAACAAAGTCCGTTTGTGGCTTGAATTTAAGCAATATCATTGACGCCACGAAAACCGACCAAAAAGTTTTTTTCAAGTTTCAGAATTCATTAATAGCACCACTAGATGGAAAAAAGTAGTTTCTTCCAATTGCCTTTTTTTTTTAAATTGTTAATGTACCAGATTCAAATGCATAAAATATCTCTGGTGTGATTACTTGGACTCCTTTCCCATGTAAAATAGTTTTACAAAAACTCTCCACTTGCAGCACTCTTGCTTAAGAAATAATAAAGAGATCCTATAAGTTTCAGCCTCACATTGACAATGTTCAATATGTATACATTTGGATCAATCTCATTTCGGCAAAATTTTACTTCATGGGATACTAACGGATTTTCGCGATTTTTTCTGTGATGATACTACATGATGGTAGAAATTCAGAACACTTTTTATTTTTTGTCGGACTCAATTTGTTTTCGAGATATAGTCTGGGAGTTTTTGACAAAACTAAAGGAAATTTGTTTCGAACATCAGGGTTTCTATGTATCTTTTACCAGACTAAGATGTCTATAGGTACACTGGTGAATTTCAATACACTCTTTTGTTTCAGAAATTGTAGACCAAATGAGGTAGTTTTGTTGTAAATATTTCTACTTCACGTAACGACGTAATGTTTCTTGACATACTATGAATGTGTCAAATTTGAAAAAATATCTTTGCCGGTAATTAATGGATTTTTTCTGTTGTTCGCTATTTGTATACCTAGTTTATTGAGTACAGGGCGAAGAGAACTACCTAGGTATATTGTTTTTGTGTGAGTGATTTAAAAGTGATGTTCCAAGTTTAATGTTACAATTGGTACCTATAAGGTAAGAACAGTTTTCAAAATATTCAAAAAACAATATGAACTATGAAAAAGCACATAATAGACGTAGACGTTATTTTATTACTCTTATATAAAACGTAATTCCTGTCTCAACGATGGCCAATCTATATATGTACAGGCTTTACGTTAGCGGAAGAGTCCTAGGATATCATCCGACATATTAGTGGACTCTACTCGACGAGCTGAGGACACGACACTCCTCTCGAGAACCGCATGCGCAGAACAAAAAAGTTATGAAATTGAAATTTTCATTATAAGTCTACGGAAAAGCGTCTTACTTAAGGCTAGTTCATGTTGGAACGCACATCGCATAAAAAGTGCGATTTAAAATGGTGTTGAGTGTATCGTGAAAAAGTTGAAAAAATTTAACTTTTTTGCGATTTCTGCAGAATTTTATACGTCAATTTACAATGAGGTTATATTGCTATTTTATTTGACTATCGTTTTTTAAGCCCATACATCGAAATTGAATCCGAAATGGACGGCGAATGCGTCAGGTTGTTCAAATTATATCAACTTTACCGTATATATCAAGCTTCATTGAGAAAACCCAGTCGTTATGGTGTGAGAAATATTTTCAAAAACAGAAGAAAATATGGAGAATATCACAACCTTGTAGCTGACATTTGAATTAGTGATCCAGAGAAATATTTCAACTATTTCAGGCTGACTCTCCCATTATTCAACAAATTATAGAATTTGGTTATCCCTTCATTAAAGAAAACTCATTTTGCAAAAGAACCCCTCGCTCCTGCACTTAAGTTGGCAGTAACGTTAGGATAAGTGGTTTTAAGACACGCCCCTATATTAAACAAAACTTGAAAAAATTGTTAGTCCTATTTTCTGATATGATGGGGTCTGGTCTTAAAAGTCGTAATTCGTATGAGTCGTATGCATCGACATAACCATGTCGGTGGTCGTATGTGATTATTCAGGTTCATGTAATAAAATTTAAAATTCAGCAATAAAATCCCTAGATATTGCCCGCTTCAACTTGAACAGCGCTATACGCTGGTGTAGGTATATAGCGACTCATACGTGTAGAATTTTCAAGTCTTGTCATCTTTTTCGAGACTAGATACCAGTACCGATGATGTGCTAGGTAGAAGGCACCTGCTGACTATTGACAACTGACAGTAGTAAATTTTCAAAGTAATAGTATTCTTTTTCCGCGTTTTTGTAACTCATATAATCTACTATTTGATATCGACCAATGGTCCTGAGAGTATTCTGAGCATTGCGTCCGACTTTTAGAATCCAACTATGAACTCATCAATCCACCAAAATATATATTTTTATTTATTGATGGATTGAAATCGTTAAAGAAGTATAACATCTATCAATTTATTGTATAGTACATTCGTGAATATCTTCACGCCGCAATTTTTGAATTCCCTGTCGAAAATAGATTATGTTCTGAATATTCATGGATTTCCTGGAATTCCTTCTGTTTTTATGTCCACTCCAAGATTATGTATTGGACTCTCATTGAATATAATTCAGTCCAAATTTCAAGAGTTTGTGTGTTAGCTTGTCAGCATTATGTTCAGGTGGGCAATTTCAGCATTCACAAGAGAACAAGCTAGAGTACTTATAACATTATATTAACAACATCCTAATCCTAATCCAGTGGTTTTTCAAAATTACTCTCGGTAATACGAAGGAACTGTTTGTACTGAGCAGGATCTTCTTTGAATCGTTATTCACAATCTATGAACCGGTCGTTTCCTTATTTTGAAGCCATGGTCTCACCCACCAATCCTTGGCTTTCTACTACTCGATCTTGATACAAAAAAATGTATTGGTTACTTCTTATGAAATTGATCGCTTCCTTCCTTTGTTTGAAAGATTCCTACATTTTTTTGTATCAAGATGACCAAAAACTTTTTTTCTGAGTGAATTTCACTTCGTGAAAAAAAGTTTCTGGAGAAAATCTTCATAGGCAAAAACTAAAAACTTTTCTCTACGAAAAAAGTACTTATCTATCTCACACAAAAACTACGTAATTAACCTTAAATTTTTTTCCCCTTTCAAATAACACGTCATAATCTCTCAAATTCTCTTACAACACAAATTTTGAGATACTGTTAGAATAACAAACATAATATTGTGCAGAAATTTCAATATAAAATGTCATTATGATATTCTCTTTGTTTTCCCAGAGTTTTGCACCGCCATACTGCGGCAATGGTTCCCTCAAATAAGAATACAAACATGCTGAATGTAGAGTTATTCAATCTTGCACCACAGATTGAATGTAACCAGTGCTTAAACATATTGCGAGAGTTGTAGGAAAGGAAAACTCCCATCTAAAAGGAACGGACAATACACAATGGGACGACACGGATCTGCTTTTCAAAAGGAAAGCGTCTCTGTCTCATTTCAATTCATATTTCGTATCATATAACTGTCTTTGTTTTTCTTCCAAAATTTTCATCAAATTAATTTTTAATATTCCAAGTTCCCTCTTTAGAAGTTGTCAATGAAAAATTTCCGTAATTTGAAATTTGACGTGATAACATAACTTATCTAATATGAAGTCATGAATAACCTATGTGAAATTGTTTTTAAAAATGACATTGTAACGTGTCTTCAAAGAGTAGGGGACTTATTTTAAAAAAACAGGTCCGGTGTTTTGATAGTTGATACTGTGGTATTAGTGGTGTTTGGAGGTGTAATGAGATGACTAATTTCACGGTAATGAAGATTCTCAAAATTATTGAAGTAATAAAAGTAACCCCCAATAAACAATAAATGAAAACTTATAGAGAATCCAAATAGATACCAAGAAGTAATCATGGTCAGAATTCAAGAGGAGGTTAGTGAGCAAAAGTTATTTTTTAGGAAAATTCTGTCGGCGCTCTTCTATGGGGTTGCTTCCTTTATGATAACGGTCGTCAATAAAACCATCCTGACCACATACGGATTTCCTTCTTTTCAAGTACTGGGCCTCGGACAAATGTTTGCAACCATTGTGCTTCTGTTCATTGCCAAGAAGATAAAATTAGTGAATTTTCCAAGTTTGGATCTAAACACATTTGGAAAAATATTTCCATTGCCTTTGATTTACATAGGAAATATGTTTTTTGGGCTAGGAGGAACGAAGGAACTGAGTCTTCCTATGTTCACAGCTCTCAGGAGATTTTCTATTTTAATGACTATGGTTTTGGAGTTGTATGTTCTTGGAGTTAAACCCAGTTTAAGTGTGCAATTCAGTGTGTATACTATGATTGTGGGGGCTGTCGTAGCAGCAGTGAACGACTTGTCATTCAAAGTGAGAGGTTACATTTTTATTTTTTTGAATAACTTCTTTACCGCTACCAATGGCGTATATATGAAAAAGAAGTTAGATTCAAAGGAACTGGGAAAGTATGGACTGATGTATTACAATTCCTTATTTATGATTGTGCCAGCAACTTTCTTCGCATTTTATTCTGGAGATCTAGAGGCTGCTTATCAGTACCAGTATTGGGATAATTATTTATTTTTGGGTCAGTTTTTGTTATCTTGTGTGATGGGCTTCATTCTTAATTATAGTGTGATACTATGTACCTTGCACAACTCTGCACTGACAACCACAATAGTGGGAACTTTGAAAAATATTTGTGTAACCTATCTTGGCATGGTAATTGCTGGAGATTACATTTTTTCATGGCCCAATTTTGTTGGAATCAATATAAGTGTAATAGGAAGTCTTGTATACACATATGTCACTTTTCGTAGAAAAGATACTGCCTCATATGCTCCATTGCCCACCAAGGAAGTTTCAACGTCTGCGAATATTGTATAGCATTTAGAGATTCTGATGAGGAAAAAACTACAAATGTAGTATAGTGTGAATGTAGCTCAAATCTGTTAAATATGATAAATATTTATATCAACATATTTTATCTGTTTGAAAATAGCATCTTCAATGTTTTGAAAATGGCATCTTCGATGTCCTAACAGAAAGATGACAGTTCAATTTCACTTTTCTTGTAAATTGAAGTCGTTGCCATAAAGTCACTGACAGTTATAAAACCTTATCATTTTATATTTTTCTGGGTTAGTAATGAATGGTGAAGCTCTTCAGGGCTCTACTTTTTTTAAATTTACAAGTAATTTTGACCCTTTCATTTTTTAAACTTCATTGTTCTAGTGATATTTTTTTGGGTATTTTCATCTTTTAGGTAGTAAAAAAGAATGAAAATTAAACACTATATTACATAAGTTACTGTATAAATACCAATATTTTCTCCAATAAATATATACTATATATTTTTTAAATTTTGCCTGTCAAAAAATCTCATGAATACTCGAGTATCTTAGTGTTGATAATCTCTATTTGTCATCAGAATCTATCAAATGAAATCAACTTAGGTCCCAACAGTTTATTTGTTTATAAAAATATTCACAATTTCATTTGACTGGCATCATTATGAATATTTATTTTTGAGAAAGAAAGGCATTGGCTTTCTTACCCAAAAATTCAATCTCTCCTAAAAATATACCCCTTTCAATTTAAATATTTATCATCCAAATTTGTTAATTGCCTTTTATAAAAGTCATGATCTAATCTTGAAGTTCATCATCTTCCTTTCTTCATAAGTTTTTTTTTGTAGAAAGTAGTGTAGAAGTAGATATCCAAAAAGATTTCTTCCCAAAAACTAATCTCTTCTAAAAAATATACCAACTTCAATTTATAGTATATGGTGTTATCATATGAGTTTTCATAACGTCAGTTCGTTGCCATTCTAGGTATTACTAGAATTTCATACATTTCTTCTAGATGAATAGCCTGGTTTTATTCCTATACCAATTTGAAAAAATATTAGGAAAATAATGTGTATAAGGTTAGTTGTGAAAGGTATTGGTGGTTGTTGGGTTGATGTCTGTGTTTATAAAGCTGTTTGGACGTTACAAGAATGTTTTATTTCTGTTGCATTCATTACAGTATATACTAATGGACCTGGGTACGAATTCTCTGCCAGAGCAGATTTTAATTCCCAACTTAATTTTCAAGATCTTCACTTAATTCTCGGGATTTCAACGTTTTTCCATGTCTTTTCACCTATTTTCGAGATCCAGTACAAAATCTTGAAAAAATAACGAGTTAATATAAAATGAAAAATTAAATGTTGCTATCGAACAAAAGTTATTTTCTGAAAAAAATTAAAATGTGCAATTGAGAACTTCATACAGGTGCTGCAAACATCTACTTCTTTCCAATGAGTGTGTGAATTCAATATATGGACATATTTATTGTGACGCCCGAAGATACTATTGTATGGCGAAACACATGTCACGGTTTTGTAAACTTTCAAGTGGAAATCCCACATTGAAGTGTGCTTTTTGAATACATTAATTCAATATATGTTTTTCATAGATAATTGTTCTGGTAACTTGTCACATTAAATTTTCTATTAGAAATTTAGTGTTTTTTATATTGTGGAAGGTGAGAAGTCCCAAAAGAAGTTGATAAAACGTGTACTTCTTCTGTAGTTTTCTCTCTGCTCTATAAACTTTTTTTTTCAATAAACAAACACAAACAAGGATGATCCTTGTTTATTTAAGTGTTTCGGAAAATAACTGAGATCAGCACGGTTTTGATTCATGACATTATTATATTACGAATATGTTAGTTCATTTTTATTTTGTATATTCTACAATGAACACCCTGAAAACACCAACCCCACTACTCTCAATTTAACCTTCACAACTACTTTTCTACTGTACATTATATCTGAAAACTTTGGAGGAAAGAAAAAATGCATTTATAATTTATAACATACCTACCATGTTCTTGCTTAACATTACTGACATCAAAACTATTGAAAACCATGAGCATGTAAAAAACTCCTTGCCAAAGAGTTGTTGGTAATTTATGCCTTGATATAGGTACATCTAGTAGAGCACAAAAATTTCTCCACAGCTTTGACAAAACAAATATTCCCAATGACATTCAAATGTATTGAAAAAAACTGTAAATATTGAACCCACCTATTGAAATAAGTATTTGTGAAATATTCATAAATATAAATTTACTTTCTCTACTTGAAAATGTATATTTATTAAATAAATTCACTTTTAGAAAGTTTGCAAACTTGAATTCTTCCGGAAAATGACTTTTAAGAAAATCACATTTCCAGTTTGAATCTTTGTTTTTTTTTAGTAGCAAATATCAATTTTTATTTTTGAGGTTCGAATTGAACATAACCTCAATTCACAATGAAAACAAATGATTGAAGTAAATTGTTGAAGTGTGTACCATGTGTTTTTCCCAAAGATACTGAACTTTCAGTGTTGCCCTGCATAAGAGAGTAAATTTAAAATTTTTAAAACTGTGAGTAATCTTTCATGATTTATAGAGATAAGAATTCCTAACAGAAGTATTTTCTGCTTTCACAAGGAAATTTTTTTTGCAGTTTATTGTACCTACTTTATAATTTAATTCAGCTTTTCCCTTCCAAGTTAACATGAAACTACACCATGGTCGAATAGTATAAAAGATCTGATAAATTTCGGTATTGTGAAGGTGTTTTTTATCAAATGTCGACGTTTCGACATCATCTCAGACGTCATTTGCAAGACTAGTTACTGCTTCTGCATTGTGAGGTGCAAATCACATGCAAAATAACACAACAGAGGAACACCCGGAAAAACAACAGCCTGTGGGACATCATCAGTTTGTCTTCAACAAGGACTGTCTGCTCGGCGCTGGTGATGCCCAACAGGCTGAAACAGCTGTCTATCGGTGGCAATTGAATTGAAATCAAATTATGGATGATTGGTTTATGAACAAATATATGAAAACAACAATATTTAAAGTTGACATGGTTGCTAGACCAAAATATTGCTTTGCAGAATATATTAGGCTCAGATAGAAATCATTGAAACCTTTTTAATTATTTCATTCACTTATCACTTGATGTTTTTTATTCCAGACATTCAAAATGTATAATTAATTATCGAGATTCAAGATCATCTCATATTTATCTCAAATAAGTTCCTAATATTACATATTTATCAAGATCTCAGAAATTGTAATTTTTTCATTCATGGTAAATTGTAATGTATATATAAAAATGACAATTAGAACGTTTATTTATGATATTTAAACTGACTCTTATCAGCATGTACATACCATATGCGTTATTTCAGTTATTCCAGTATGATTATTCTAGGTATTTGAAGGTATATCTAGTAGCTTGATATCAGTTAGAAAGCAAATAACTTTGAACAATATATTATTGTACATCCAAATCCATAAAAAATGTGTTTAATATATAATTTTCTTGAGACATATTAGGAAACATTTTAATAGTAAAGTGATATTTGGTATTATTGAAATAATCATGAAAGGAATACTATTGTTTTTATCTCATTAAATCTGTTTCAGTGACAAAAAAGTATAAATAATGCCCAATTGAATTTTAATTTGTGTGTATCAACATAAAAAAATTATTTGTAACAATGTAAATGTTCCTTTCACTTTGAATTAAAAAAGTGTTGTATAAATGGTTGATTATTTAGAAATTTATTCCTATAGAAGATAGTAACTTTGTGATTGTAGCCATGAAAATCATTGATATTTGGAGAGTAAAAGGCAAAATAACTCACCTTGCCTGATTATGTTACCCTTTCAATAGAGAATGGTTTTGGAGTACTAGCTCCTTATCAGTGCCAGGTGGGTTATTTCAGAAAGAGTGAACCTCTAAATCTCCGGGGTTAAAAAAATACTGGATATTGAAATTTTTTCACATAATAGTAATAGGACTGTTATTGTATGCGTTGTTACCTAAGAAGGTAAAATTCAGTAAGATTGAAACATTTATCAGAGATCCTCATTTCTCCCCTTATGAAGATTATTGTTTTTGAAAGCATTGGTAGGTAGTACTTAAACAACATCCAAGGGGAGACTACTGATCGAAAGAGTTTTTGGTGATTTTTGTTTCGTCAAGTGAAAAATTCATAATTTCACAATTCTATTTTTTTAATCCATATCGACTTTTTTATTTTTATATTTACTAGAAAATTAATATTTCGAAATGAAATCTCGAAATATTCATCTCTCCCAACTACCTACATCGTAGATTCTGCTAAATGCCTGCCAAAAAACAACTACTTCCGCGGCTAATACCACGCTGTATATGTTTTTCGTTCATCTAGCAGCAGGACCATGCTGAAATTATTTGAGTAGATCACCTACAGACTGATTTCGAGAAATTATCCCTCATCACTGCAGGACAGCTCCGACCCAAACAGCAAAGTGTTTGGGACTCGGCCTGGACTGGTTTTAGCCAGGGAATTTGTTGTTTTCTGGCAGGCATTTACCAGGACCTACGAAGTTCTAGTACGTATGTATCTCTCCTCGATACAGTTTTCAGACACAGTATGATCTATGGAGTATTGGTACATGGGATGTTTCTTCCCCGCTTGGGGCTTTGTTCCCTAGTTAACAATTACTGTTAAGCTGTTGCTACTTATGATGCACTGTTTGGAACCTTTGGTGTAGAAATGAATATTACTGGAGTTTTTTGCCAACACCAAATCGTTATTTTTAACACCTCGACACGTGTTTGAAGATGATCACTTGGTGATCGAAACACGTGTCGAGGTGTTAAAAATAACGATTTGGTGTTGGGAAAACACTCCAGCTGTTACTAGTTAACAACCTTTTTTTTTAGACGAAGATTTCATACATGCAGTTCAGCCGCGTTGAAATTAATCGATTTCCAGCCACTTTGTTGTTTGGGTCGGATCTTTTCTGAACTGATGAGAGGTAATATCTCCAAACCAGTCTGTAGGTGATCTTCCCGACTGATTTCAGCATGGTTCTTCTGCTGGATGAACGAGAAACATCTGCGAGACTAACCTCAGTGAGGTATCTTGCATAAATGTCTGTCGGATATAATTCAATATCCAGCGTGGTATCAGACGGGGAAACAGTTGACCTACGGTATAGGTAGTTGGGAGAGATGAATATTTGGAGATTCTATTTCGAAATAATTATTTTTCAGTACGTATGTATCTCTCCTGGATACAGTCTTCAAACTGTGGATACTAATAATCGAAATGTCGTAAAGTTTCTTGGTATGAAATCTTTTTTTCAAAATATATTTTGTTTACTTCAAAAAAAACTAAGGTTAAAATTTTTGATGAAAAATGATTAAGTGACTGAAAATATAATTTTATTCACGGAAAATAAACTAAGGTATCACAGTTGAAAGAAGATAACATTAATTTATCTCTTCTATGGGAACAAATTATTCTGAAAAATAATTATGTATTTCAGGTAGTAGTTCAATTACTTAAAAAAAAAACAAATGTTTTTTTGTTTTAATTGTTGTTTGTGCAATGCGAGTATTTAGTTAACAATTTTTTTTGTTTATTGTGATGTTAATTTTTAACACAGCCTTGTCTTATTGCGAAATATATCGAACATTATAGATAAAATCAGCATGAATTATTGGAAAAAATTTAAATGCGATGTGTGCCATCAAATAAAATTTATCAACTTCGAAGATGAAAAAATTTGGTTGGCATTTTTTTCGTCCTCTTATCTTAATTTTCCAATAACTAATGTCCTGTAATTTGTTGTTGTACCAAATATTTTATTTATTGTGATTATTGAAATTTTAATTGTACAAATATATTTTTATTGACAAAATAGGTACTGTTATTGGTCGTAGTTTGTTTGATCTATATATGCAGGTTTTACAAAATAATACAGTCTACTAATATTGATAAATATTTTGTCAATTAGCTGAAAAATTCATTAAGTAGTTTATACTTTCATTATGAATTACCTACTCGGCGCTTACGCCAAAGGATACCTTTGAAAAATTCAAATTTTTTATATCTTTAGTTACATTGATCAAAATTTCATGTTCGTAAGTATGAGGGTTTCAGAACGTGTCTCAATTGTGATTATTCTGTGAAACAATTTAGCACTTTAAAGATATTCTGTTGGATATGTTCAACTGCCAAGTATAAATATTTTTTAAGAAATTCTCTGGGTTTCTCTCAATGAATGAGAATCAAATGTAAGGATTTCACATGTCATTGTTTCACAGAGATTTCTTTTTCAACACAAAGGGTTAGAAGTTGCATTTTCTTTATATATTTTCAAAGTGGGGTAGGCTCGTTATAATTATTTATCTGTTCATTATATCTAAGATTTGAGTAGTGAATGTAATACCTAATTAACAAACTGAATTTGATCACAGTTATCCATAATTTTGATATCAGAACAAATATCGCGATGATTCTTGGGTCTAAATAGAGTAAAATTGATTTTGAAATAGCATATTCATAATCTATTTTGATGAATACTTCTTGTTTTTTTTTGCTCATTTTTGTACTAGTTTCTTTCTGAAGAAGGTTGCTGTATAATCATTACAGAGAAGATAGATAGATATTCTTTATTCATTCAAGTGTACAATAGATACTATCCAAGCGGGTGTAGAACATGCCACTAACATAAACAGACTATAGATGAAAGAAGATAAAAGAAGGAAAGAGTAAACCAAAAAAGGGAAATCTAATAGCTTACGGACTAAGATTACACATTGAAAGGTGTTTTTACCTATGGTATGCAACATTTTATAAAATTATCACATATATATTGAAAATAACAAATTTATAGAGGGCTGTCTTCAAGATATTCCTTCAGTTTATAGTAAATCTTTTGTATTAATGACTGCCTAAGACGATGCTTCATTTTATTTATCGGCATATCTGTATGGTGAATGGATCCTGCAACTTCCGATTTATGTTTGGTATACAACGACAACCTATTATCACCACACACCTGCTGATCCTATTGTATGAGAGCGGAATAAGATATTCAAAAAGTAAGTCACGATTTGATAGTGTTAAACGCCCACATTGTAAAGATAGCTATTGTCAATAGTACATTGGCGAAATATGACTCAAGTGGACGAAGTCTTTTAACACAGAACGTGTTTACGTTTCTGCGCTGACTTATTTTGGTTGGCATCTTTATGAAATTTAAGGTACGAGGTGGATTGGGATTTTCTGAACTTTCGTTAAGCTTCATTCCTCAAAAAAATCATTTCTTTCAATTTACTCATAGCTTTGGGACTTGTAATTTCGAAAGTGATCAGTGGAGCGTGTTTGTCAAAAAAATTATGAGGCGTTTACTCAATTGCAGAAGAGAAATGAGCAAAAGTTTCTGAAAAACTCACCGCTCTAGAATCTCGTAAAATCTTTGTGTATCAAGTTGTTTCAAAAGTTTTCTAAGTTGTTTTAATGAGTCTACTTTAAACTGCAATACCTGAGCGAATACTTATTCAATTCATTCGAAATGAGCGTCATTTGAATCAGTGTACTTTTGCAAACATAACACAAGTCGAATAATTCCATCAGCATAAACATTGGGTGCTTTGATGAAGTCGACGAAAGCCTTTTTGCCTGGTCCTGATTGGCGAAGGTTCTACCGGTGAGAAAGTTATCGAAGTGCTTGAAAAGATTGTAGTCGGTTGGTGAGAGGTCTGGGGGGTATAGTGGATGAGGCAGAACTTCGAGGCTCAATTTGTGTAATTTTCGGACGGTTATTTGTGAAGTGTGCGGACGGGCATTGTGGTGGAGCAGGATCGGACCTGAATCACACCAGCCGCTGACCACCATACATTAACCATGGTCTATTTTTGGTCGGTTGATTTTGCCTTTGGAAAGTATATGGGTGGTTAATTTGTGTCCGGAGTCCAACCACTGTCCTGAACGTGTCCTGTTGTCGTAGAGGATCCACTTTTCTTCATCACACGTGACGATCAGGTCCAAAAAAGGATCTTTTCGGTTGCGCAGAAGCAAAGAAGAACAGACCTCGATACATCACAATTTCTGTCGTTTGTTCAATTCGTGGGGCACCCACTTTTCGAGCTTCTTGACTTTTCCATTACTTTTCAAACTATCAAAAACTGTTTGGAATCTGACGCCTAGTTCTTCAGATATCCCACGCACCGTTTGTGGTTGGTTAATTTCCACGAGGCTAAAGTCTATGGAACGAAATTTCGGAAACCAACATCGAACAGTTCGTTCATTAATACTATCATAGCTAAGTAATAAGTGCCTGGTTAATTTTTCGAGCTGTTTCGGCAACGCTTTGGTTCAATTTGAATACGTACATAAAAATTGCCCGAAATTAAAATTTGGAAAAAATTAACAGCAATGTATAGAGTAGGTACAAAATTCTCTATCGATCAGTGGGTATTTTAGATATGGAGCTACAAAAACAAATGACATTAAATCGGACAAAACTTTTTGAACAACCTGTTATTTAATACATTTCAAATACACTTGTGAAATACCCATACTTGGTAAAGTATATTTAAGTTGGAAATAATGTTCGACGATATTGTGTTTTTAGGCTACGTGTACTTTGCGGCTGCGAAATTTCTGTGACTGGAATAATAATGTTTACATAATTTTTATCTTCATTCCAAAACGATATGTGAAACGATACCATAAAAATAGCCATTTGTTAGATGTTACATTCGTTACATGTTTGTTATTCAGATATGTCCACAGTCAAACAGTAATTTTAAACTTATACCTAGAAAGAATTATAACGGGGATAACATTATTTGAAAATGTTATAAAATTGGATGAGATAGACTCGTGGCCATTGTAATGAACTCCAGTCATATTAGAGATAGAACAAATTGTGTCGATGACATCAACGTTGCACATACAAAAGTGTGTGCAAAACCTGCATAATTGATTATGTAATTGAACAAAGGGAACTAATTGATCATTATAGAAAAATTAGCACCTCTAAATATTTTTTTCCACTAGCAATACCTTTAGGTTGCAGTAATGATTTATTTTTTTACAAAATTTGGTCACTTGAAATGTTAAGCAGCAGTACATCCTTCCATAACTCAGCAATTATAGGAACGTCAAACACGTCAAGATAAACGAAAAAAACAACTCAAACACATTGGTATTCTTTCAATATTCAATTTTCCAAGGGAGCAAACTTGAAATGACAGACATATCTATTTTTAGGGAGTACCTAATAATGGTTTAGCAATATAATTAATTATTACTAATTATATTTAGTTTTCATGTTGTATCTTTTTTTCAGAAAGAAGATACTGTACGTCTTCTTTGACTCAAGCTCATTATACCATTTAAATAAATAACAATGGTGCTTCCATAAATAACAATACAATCAATAATAATAATGTTAGTAGTAATATCCTTGACGCGATTCCTAATTTGTCACTTTGTATAATTATGCTAGATTGCATATCTCACACCTGAACTTGTTTGGATATTTCAGGAATTTGATTACATGGAAATTGCTTATAATACTAATCCTTCCATAAACTCATTTTTTTCTATGGTCAGAGATAAACCTCTTACCATGTCACAATCAGAAGAAATAAATTTAATTCCTTGCTTTCACTATGAAAACAACTCATATTGGTCAAACATCAAGATTATTGAAATAACGTATTATATTCCATGAAAACGAAGGCAGATAAGCAATTACTATCCATGATTTTATTCAAAACACATAGCTTCATCAATTACTGGTACATCAAACTATTCTACAATGCCCTGTATATAATAGTAGGTAATGACAACACTCATTAGGTAAATGAATAATTCTGGCGAAACAGGTGGGAAGTTGATCCTTTAAAAAAAATTAATATTTTGCGTTTATTGATTTCCAGAGTTTCTGGCAGATTTGATTATAATTGATTATCATGGATAGCGTTATCAATTTTCATCAGGTAATGGGTCAGTCTTCATAATTGGTTATTAAATTTTTTGCTTTCATAATGGAAAAATTACATTATTCAAACTTCAAGATTATTAAAAGACCGTATCATATCCCATGAGAGCGATTGCAGATTAGCACTCAATAAATGTGCCTTGAGTAAGCATGCTAACTCAAAGTGTGAACTTCAATAATACTAATGTTGCAAAGAGGTAGTTTCTCTTGACCAATCAATGCACAAATGAAAAGTTGTTCTCAATCACTCGAGTGACTTTTTTTCACATGATTTTCCAAATTTCACATTTTAGAATGCATAACATAAATTTTTGTTTTGAGGTTTGCTAATTATAATAATCATCATAATTTCTCTTGTCACATTTTGAAATTTCCAACTGTCATTTGAATGTTAACAATTTTAATGTTCCTTTGAAAGATGACGATTGACAACAGTGGTTTAGTGGCAATTTAGGAATTTATTCCCTCTTGTATGATGATATCTAATGCCATTTAATTCTTCCTAATGATTGTTTGGTTTCTTGTGTTTTGCGATTCATGACATATGTGCCCATGCCATATACCGACTATTTTATTATTTCTCACAAAACAGTACCTGAATCAAAATAAAAAATGTATGTGTTTCAGAATTTTCACATTCATTTACCAAATAGGGATTTCAAATCATTTTATATAGTAGACAATGGAAGTCCGAACTAGTGAAATTCATCACGAAACATTGTCAATCACCTTCAAACAAACGTTAACAATTTTACTGTTCCTTTGAAAGATGACGATTGACAACAGTGGTTTAGTGGCAATTTAGGAATTTGTTCCCTCTTGTATGATGATATCTAATGCCATTCAATTCTTCCTAATGATTGTTTGGTTTCTTGTGTTTTGCGATTCATGACATATGTGCCCATGCCATATACCGACCATTTTATTATTTCTCACAAAACAGTAGGTACCTGAATCAAAATAAAAAATGTATGTGTTTCAGAATTTTCACATTCATTTACCAAACACCGAATTCATGCCTTGCTTTATTTACGACACACTTTATTTCAATAACTAGTACGAATAGAGAGTCTTATTTAACTTTATTGTTTATACATTCTAACGCCTACAAAAACATTGCCGTAGCAAAAAGAAATACCAGGGTGGGGAGGGAATCCAAATTTTCCCAACCCCACCAGCAAAATTTCCCAACTTTCGAAAAAATGAAGGCCGAGGGATTAGTTACTACTATAATATATTAATTTTCTTACTTAGCTATCCAAAGATTGGCTGAATGCTTATGCCCGTTAGGGTATACACAAACAAAAATAAATTTTGGTTATTATAAAAATATTAATGGGAATTATTCTACTTTGGAGCAAGGTCCTTGGTCTTCCACCATATTCACCATGTAGAGGAATATTCAATACAAATGAAAGAAAACAACACTTCAATAATATTGTGCTTGTTGTTTTCGACTATTATTTTTTCTATCTTCACGGCCCGAAATTTCCCAACTTTTCCAAGTCGAAAAAAACAGCGAAAAGTTGGGAATTTTGTAAAATTGTCACTTCAAACAACTCAGAATTTCAAAGTATGGGATCTCCAAGTTATGCATTATGGGAAATCCCAACCTTCTCCCAGTTCTTTCCCTTTTATTATTACCTCTCCCTTTCTTTTCTTTATTTTTTTNTTTTTTCCTGAACGATAGGAATGAAGAATATATTTTACTCTGAACACTTCTTTATAGAGTTGTGGGTGTTTTACCCCCTATTAATTTTCTACGAGTACTAGAGTTTTTAAAAAGATAGTAAAAATATTCTGATGATTCGTTCATGAAAAAAAGTTTACATTTACTCTACACAATGTGGCAGTATATATACCATTACTTATTGTATACTTCAAAAAAGACAGAATATAATTTTTATTTCTGCAAATTTGGTCATGGCATTCTGTCATATCTTGAAAATTCTGAAGTGCATACTTCCATTTTATTTCAGATGCGCTGTATAAATGTTTTACTGAAAATGTTGTAAATGTATTGAACATATTATCAGAGGGTTATTCACTTGAATCTTTTGATTCAAATGGTAACAAACTTGATGACTGTACATTCATGTTGGTAGGTTGGTTTAGGGCCGAGTTATATTAATCAATTTCTTTGTCAAGGCTTGATCAATGGATAAAATGATGAATAGTTGTGATCAAATGATTCTGATGATCACAGTTTGAAGTGCAGGTCAAATAATTCACGAAAAAACTAGCTATCTTCATTCTTTGTTAAGCTTTTCTATCTTGATTGAATGAAGAACAAGACACGTTTGGCCACAAAAGAACATACTGCTGAACACATAAACTTTGTTAAATATCGTAGTTTTCAGTCTAGTTTGCTTTCCAATTAAAATCTGTTCTTCATGTATGAATGAATTCAATATGCTTGTTAACTTTACTTATTTTTTATATAACGTGGAAACTTGCTGAGATCCAATGTTGAGAATTTCCATGTTGTGAACGAGTCAGGTTTTACGAAAAATTAGGAATATGATTCTGCAACCTGCCATGTTTTTACTCAACTCTGAACAGATTAGGATTTCAAACCTGTTTGAGGAACAAAATATATTTGCTTTGACTCGTTACGTGACACTAGAATGAAATCTTTGGAGATTGCTCGAAGAAAGTTCGTCATCAACAGACGTCCCTACGTTTGACGCGCATTTCGCTGTGCGAAACGGCTATCCATTCGTTGCGAGAACTGTCAAACCAAGTTAAACCAAGGTTGTACCTTCCGTTCAAATTCGCGTGTTGACAATGCGAGAACCACCAACCACCTTCGTAGTTACTGGCGCAGTGCGTATTCGAAATATCTCTGTCGTTGTCGATGGTAGAAAACTCCATCGTGTTTTGGTAGTTGAGGGCATCGCTCGCATTTCCGGCGTATCGTCCAATGTTCAGTTTGAAGCCCATGGAATAGTCGGCAACCCTGAAATCCGCGTAGTTGGCTTGCCAGTACTGACCGTAGATATCCTTCATGTTGATTTGAAGCTGGGAGCAGTTGAGCTTGGTGAGCAAGTGGAGGTTTCGGTTTCCTAGCCAGTGCTCACCAGTGGCAGATCCGAATCCGTTCGAATATTCGTTCCAGTTTCGGTTGAAGTTGATCGATCCATCGCTTCGTTTCTGGATGGTCGTCCAGCCGTCTTCGCAGTGTGCCAGTATTGGTTCCCCTTCTCCGGGAGAGATGAGGTAGATTCCGGGGGGACCTTCCACAGTGCTGCAGTCTTTCGGTAATTTATTCACGATGCTTTTGTATTCGCTCTCGAAAGATTTCAGCTCTTGGACGAGGTGGATGGTTGCTTTTGTGGCGTTTAGGTTGATGGAATTGGATTCTTCCTGAAAATGAATGATGAAATTCAGGAAATATGAAAAAAATTTTTGGGAGTGTTACTTTTTATGCCGATAGTATGTTTTTCAAATAATGTGTATGATGGGTAGAGGAAGAAGTAAATGAAATTCGATATTTCGGACCAGTAAAAAAGTTTTTTTTTTAAGATGTTGAAGCAAGACTGTTATTCAGGCAGGCAATACACTTCAACAGTGATGAATTTGATTCACAATTGTCGGAACTAGAGCATTAAGCGCCTATAATTTGACGATCTTAATATGAGCATGGGCAAAATTGTCTGAAAAGGAAATAATAAAATGAGGGCATCTGAATGAGCTACGAGAACTTTTTAAAGTCAATTTTGCTCTTTGTGCCGTTTTTAATTCATTTCGGCGTTTTTATGTATTCGTTACGGTAGGTATAACATTAAATTTCACTTTCAAATGAATATTTGAACTGGGTCTGTCTTTATGCTTCAAGGAGAAAAACGATCCGAGCGGATGCAGGCATGCGGGTTGGTATTTAAAAGCTGCATGATTATTGGCTCGGAATAGCAGGTGAACCACGGCCATTATCGGACACAGGCATAAGGCAAAACACCTGCTTCTGACGGAGACATTTTTAAGTATGAAATATCGCAACTACCTCGTCGTGAAGCAATTCGGATTGTAATTTGAATACCACGCATTCCTATTTCGTTGTTTGTCACTCCGAAAGTGTTTGTAAAAAAATTACCTGGGATTTATATCTTTTTTATTTATAAAATTAATAGGAAACTTTCAACGGTTCATACTCGTATATACCACGCTAATAAATTTGATGTTCTCAGTTTGTGAAAGAAATATTATTCTATTACTATTTTTTATAATTTTTTTTCTATTTTCTCCGGTCAAGATATAAATTGACAAACAGAAACAATTGAAACTCCTATGGTAAATCATTTAAACTGTATCCAATTTAATATTTTTGCTAAACAATCGTTAGTTAAACAAGTTCCAAGTTAAATATTTGAAAGAGCATTTGTCACACATAGGCTAATATGAAGCTACTTGTTATCAATATTTTTTTTCATTGAAATAAACTGTAGCAAGCCTGTTAATCGGCTTTTATTTTTCATGGCCTATTTTTTTTGTATTCTCCTAGATAAGTAACTAACTCATCTCATTTAAGAGTGGGAAGAGATGAGAGTAATTACGAAGATAAAACTGTTAGATGCATCAAGAACACCTCTCTATCAATGCTTCTGTGCCACGATGAACAGTCTGTTCTTTTTAGAGGTTATAATTATGTCGTTTCTGTTTACAGCGCACTATATGAATCACTATTATTAATGACTTCATTTTTTAATTGATCATTAATCATTCTCACCTTCAAAATATGATCATGTAGCTTGGACGTCTGAACAGAGGATGACTTCACCAAATTTTCGACAAGGTCTTTCATTTTCTTCAAGTGCTCGCGGTCTTCATTTGTTTTATCCTGCATACTCGATACAGTAAATCCTATCGCCTTCATGGAATCGATTACGTTTTTCTGATCTTCTCTGAGCAGCGAAACTGCTGACATCGCTTCAGACTGTTGAATTTCTAGTTTCGAAATTTCTTTCCTGAACTCGGGGAAACTTTTGTCGACTTTGTTCTCGATTGTTTCTACGTTTTCCAAAAGTTCTAACATCGATATATGCAATTTGTCGAAATTTGACATCTGTCCTTTTAAACTAGCGATACTTTCGATATTTTCATTTTGGTATTTCGTCAAGTTCGTAACTCTTTCAACCAGATTTTTTTGGATTTCAGTTGTCGCTAGGTTTTCTTCTTTCTTGGCTACTGACAACTCGACGTTGTCATTATATTTCAGCTTCTTTTGTATGTTACGAATTTCATCTTCCATCTTGAGTAGTTTGGATTTGAGGAAGTAGTTTTCTTTGTGTAACGTTTTTGAACTTTTTTCAAGACGAATGATATGTTGTTTTAGCACTCTTTGATGCCTGGAAGGATGTGCTATTATTTCATTCTCCAAAGATGGACTCCTTTCGTTAAGAATTCTCCAGTTTTGATTCCACTCCAGTTGTGTGGCTTTAAACTGCAACAAAAAAATGAAGAAGTTCAATTTTCTTTAAATAATAGACAACTTTTTTTGCTGGTTTTTCTTGCAATGAAACATAATTGTTGGGATTTTGTATGTGTAAGGCTCATAATAAACCTGCTGAACTTGCTAAGGTTGAAATTGCCCAATAGTATCAATTAAAAATTAAATTTTGGCATACCGCTCTCATAATTAGTCATGTTTGAAAATTCTACAAAGAAGTTAATAGTCATATCATAATGAAATTAATCACTTTTGTACCTATTTTGATTCATTTTTATAAGGAAGAAAGAGTGCGGTAAGAAATTACAAGAGGAAATGGTTTTTCTAATTGAGAATTATTTTGTTTTGTGATTTTTCAATACGAATGTTGATAATGTTGATGCTATTTTAGAATCGCCTGACTTATATGATAAGAGGTATATGTCCATCCGCTCTTTGGGTCTGTATAATGTGTTGCCTAACGTTCAAGTTGGAGAAAATTGTGATTCCGAATCATAATTTTTTCATAGAAATATGTTGACAGCCATTTGAATGTTATAAAAGTGTAAAGAGAAATCTGTGAATATTTTGTGAAAACTTCAAAATACTACATAAAAAGTAACGATTTAAAAAATTCTATAGAAAAAAGTCAGCCTTACTGCTCTCAGGGTCGATATTTGAAATTGGAACTGTGTGCAGCACACAAAAGGGTGGGGGCAGTAATGAAAAAAAAGTTTTTATGAACTGCGTTCGAAGCCCTCAATAAAAAGAATCGGAGGCGATCGTTTTTCAAAATTTAAAGTTACTCAGTTTTTGAGCCATCTGTTTCGGACTAAATTCAAATAATGTAATCAGTCAGATTAAGTTTTGAAGAAGCTACCAAACTAATAATTTATTTTTTGTAAAACTGATAAAATGTTCACAACATACCTAAATTGAAGTAACTTTTACCAAACAGTTATATAAACATTTACAAAGCCAATGCAAAGTTGTTACACAATTAATAATATTTTTAGGAGAAATTTGATTTCGAAAAAAAACTTTTGGGCATTATTATGAAATTGTTTTTTAATAGTATCTCAAAAATTAACAAAACATATTTTTATAAGCAGAAGGGGAAAGAGAATCATAGTGACATTTTTCACTCTCAAAATACCCCTAACATTATGCATTGCATAAGCCCGGACGGCAGTGCTATTCGTCCGAAGCCGGAAAGTTTTCATCGAAAACGCAACCCAATCTCTAAAATACTAAAAAAGGCCATTTTAATGCTTAACGAATGGTCAAATATGTGATAATAGGAGATATCTTTTGATAAAACTATCGCGCGATAAGCTAACTTCAAGTGGCTTCATAACCGATGCTGAAGAAAGGTTGCAATTGTGTTGGTTTCATTTTACGTAGTGAACCACTTGGAAGGTTTAGTGTAGTTCTTTGGTGAATAGGTAATTATCTAAAGACATGGGAATGCTGAACCCTTAAGATGTTGAAGCAAGACTGTAATTCAGGCAGGCAATACACTTCAACAGTGATGAATTCGATTCACAATTGTCGGAACTAGAACATTAAGCGCCTATAATATGNTGAATTCAATTAATCCACTGAGGTATTCTTTAAATTCAGTCTGTGTGAAATAAACTTAAATACCCTCCATTCTCTGTGTATTCAAATAAATATACCACTTCGTTTTATTCACAACTCTGGAATGTTTACATCCGGTTCTCAAAAGGCTCAACCCCTTCTAATTTTCTCATGGGGAAGAAAAATAGATATAAGTATAAATAGAAAACATGTTTTCCAATTGAAATGAACAAAGTTTTCTTCATGTTTAATAACTTTCTTGAAGAAACCTGTATGTGTCATTATACAAAAAAAATATAAAAAAAATTCCCTTCCACGTTTCCCTCTAGAAATATTTTGAAAATTTCCAAAACATATCCTGTGTTGAATTATTCCTGTTTCAAAAGATCCGTTTCAGTATTAACAAAATTGTGTATATGTCTGCAGATTATCACTAATTTTGTCAGTGACTTTGTTAATGGCTTTGGTCTTCTCATAAAGCTAATTGAAACCATTTTTCTCATGTAATTATAACTCTGAAGGGAGACTTTGAATCCTATTTTTGAAAAAATTGAAGTTGTCAAGATAAATGTAGTAAGTGTCACATATGGAAGAAAATATTTCTAATTGAATTTGCTCTCAGATAAATAGGAATCAGAAGGAATATCGGTAGTTCTTTGACCCAGGTCATGTTATTTCTATGTTCAATAGGTCTCATTTCATCTTCTGCTTTATTTGTTGTATCTGTTACCACTAATTATTTTGAGTGGTACATGATACTATGATACGTTGTTTAAATAAGCATATTTTTTTACTGGGTTTAAAAACCAATAGAATGCCTGACTAAGAACAGGGGCTATACCACACAAGTTGTTTTTTGGTTTTAATGGTTCTGGATTGTGCTGATACCTGTAGACCATAATAGGAACGTATTGGAAGTGTGCCATATCACCATATCCATTTTCAAAATGAAAACTAATTTATTTTAGTATATGAAACCTTCATTTTCCAAGAAGCTGACTTTGTGGCAAAGCTCCGTCTCTTTCTGAAGCACTCAGTAGGTTATAAGTATAAAAATGTCGAAACATATTGGACCTTTTTTGGAAAACAAAGTTTTTGGCTTTCTACTTCTCCATCTCCATTCAAAAAATGTGAGAATCTTCTAAATAAAGGAAGGAAAATCAATTTCAAAAAATTAACTCCATACAAAGATGTGTAGACAATGCAAAGAAGTAACCTTCAGACACAAACTGGAAGAAAAGCCCTCTCGAAAGAGCTTACTTGATATAAACATTGAATTACACGAAAGAAACTAATAGATAATAGATCAAGATCTTCAGATGATGTGGTGCTGCAGGTTTTTCCGGGTTTTCTTGCAGCTGAAAAAGCAAATGCGCCACTGGAAACAATGAAGTCGCTCCGGAGCGCCAATTAATTTTTATTGTTGTTTTTATTTTTATCGTTGTTTTAATAAAATTGTACAGTTGATACTTTTATATGAACACTGAATTATATAAAAACACGTTTCTCTATTCAGTTTGTATCCCAAACATTCGTAAAAGAATTGAATCAGATATCAATCACAGGATTGCTACACAATATAGTGAATGAAAGAGCTAAAATTTTAATTATCCAGATTTTATCCAGATTTGGTGCTGAATGTTTGGAATACAAAATAGAGAAAAGCTTTTTTGTATAATTCAGTGTTCATATAAAAGTATTTGTTTCGAAATTATTTTTCTTTTGTGTTGTTTATATGAAAGTAGCTGTTTCGAGAGGGTTTTTCTTCCAGTTTGTGTATGAAAGTTACTTCTTTGCATGATCTGCACATATCTTTGTAGAGTTAATTTTTTTGAAATTGATTGCTTCCTTCCTTTCTTTGGAAGACTCCCACATTTTTTTGTATAGTATAGTATATAGTATAAAGGGTTTTGTACAGTATAGTATATAGTTGTATTGCATATAGAGTAGACAGCCAAAACCTTCCTTTCCCAAAACATTAATCTTTCCTAAAAAATACCCCTTTCAATTTAAATATTGGACCTTATAATGCCTTGGTCTCTTCGTATTTCATTGATATTACGTTTTTTTTGGCTTTGATATATTATGGATATAATAAGCCAGAGAAATTGACTGCACTTTATAGGATACAATTTCGTTCGAAACAAGTTGATTGTGCTGAATTCTGTACATACATAATTCATCACGGAGATAAAATAACAATTTTATTTTATGAAAAATGGTTCACTACTCGTAGTCTGAAGTGCCTGATTGCATATAGTGAGTAATACCATTACTTAAAATTTGCAGTATTTTATGAAATAAGGCGGAATGACACCGGAATCTCAATAATAATTTATTTACTGGTATTTAGATGATTCGTCTCAAGAGTCTTATGAGACATAAACATAGTTTATGGAGTTCATAAATTGCAGGAAATGACATATATTTTTGGCGCCTGCCTTGTATCTGACCTTATAATTATTTTGAAATCACGTAGTAGTCCAAGAAAATAATCGAATGTGTTGGGTAGGGAAATGACATTTTTAAAAATGATGGAGTCAATAAGCATAATTTTCAGTGAAATTCTGTTTCGAAGAGACTCGTAAAAATATGAACCTCATGAACATTTTTATATACAGTCACCGTTATAAGTCAGCAACATATGAGATTTTTTATTAATTTCATACAATTTGATTTCAGGGATAATATAGTTACATCTTAGTATTAATCTTTACATGTTAGAATTGACATTTTTGTAAAAAAAAATTGAGAATTCGAGAAATTTAACCCTTAATTGAATTTTATTAAACTGATAAGTACGTTTACTTGAAAACGCATGAGTTGATGAAATCTGTATAATTTCACTTATTCCTGAAAACCTATCGTGATGTTCACTGGAAAAAAATATTATCTTTCAGCCTAATAATTTGCACGAGCCTAAGTGGTTTTTATTCATCACAACTTTAAAACTTGAAACATTTCAAATAGCATAAGAGCCATATTACTGAGCCTAATATTCCAGTTATATTACTATTATAAGTTTTTCAATTATATTTACTGAATAAAAAATAAAGCCCTCTTTATCTTTTTTTTATAAAATACCAGAAATCTGCTCAATTTTGTAAGTGTGTTTAACTTTTATTTAACTTAAGGATCATACGAATGATATCAGACAAACAATATAGAAATTCATACTTCCAAATCATACAGACTTTACTTAAATGAAGGAAAGTACATAGATAATATATAAAAAGTACAAAAAAAGAAAAAATATTTTTTGTAGATACTTATACATACAAGAAAGCATGACACTGTTTTTGCACAATTAAAATTCGTTGTAAATATGAACGAATACATCGAAAGGGATATATTTTTTGAAGAGATTAGTTTTTGAGAAAGAAATGTTTTATTTTACCCATTTCACAGGGCTGGATTTGGAAGTCTGGAGGCCCTGCCGCAACGAAGGAGTGTAGGCCCCAAATTATTATTTATTTTCAAAGTAGTTTTTTTTCGGGTAATTCAATGTTATGTGAAAGTAGTAGGTAGTTTCGAGAGGGTTTTTTCTTCCAGTTTGTGTCTGAAAGTAACTTCCATGCATGATCTACACATTTTTGTTGGGAGTTTTTCTTGAAATTATTTGCTTCTTTTCTTCCTTTGAAAGTTTCCACATTTTTTTTATAAAGATGAATAAGTAGAAAGACAAAAACATTATTTTCCATGTACGAACACTATTATATTATAGTTAAAAAATGAATAAACAGTTCGATGGTAGGCAAGCTTTTGGTGAAATGTTCAATATGTACCTCATAATTTAGTTTGTCATCTAAGTATATGCCTAGCATTTTTTATTTGATCAAAAAAACAGTTTTTCGGTATCCAGAGTAGTATGCTTGTAATACTTGACTCATATAAAGTTATTTTAAGTTGCGTTTAGAACTGATTCACTGAATTGTTTTCAGAATTAATTTACTGTGTTGTTTTATTTTTAACTAGCGAACCGCCCCGGCTCCTCACGGTTGCAACGCTGATACTTAATATACATATAAAGGTTTGCGATCGCTGCTATACTATGTAGTGATTATGTGATTAGCTTCAATTATTTCCTCTGTGCTAATTGAGTGAAAAATATTGTTCCTTGCAGGGGAAAAGTTTTTTGGATTACATGAAAGCTGATTATGAATAATAGGTGCTGGTGTAATTTTTTGCCCAGGGCCAAAGACTGTAGTACTTTCTTTCATGCTCATTACCTCATCATTTATTCTATATTTTTCATTTTGACTTTCGTTTTTTAATAATTTTTCATGAGAAAAGGAGAGTCAAAAACACCAGGGAAGTTACCTAAAGTCGTGAACATCCAAAAAGTGTGTAGTGTTACTAAATAAAGTAATGCATTTCCATTCGGTTCTCATGGTACGACAGATTGTGAAAGGGTCTGCTTTTATTTTACATTTTTAGATTTTTCATAAATGAAAATATCACCAACTCTGGAAATGTTTTGATATCTTTGTACATATTTCAAGCACACTCATGTGCATCCTCGGAACGAATGTATTGAGTTATTTTATATTTCCTATATTTCTATCCCCAATTACATAAGGTTGGGTATGTGTCAATTGAAAAGTTTCTCAAAGGAAAATATGAAAGAGAAGAAACGAACCAGAGGAAAATATACCTTTTGAATCGTTGCTTACATTCATTATTCCACTTCTTGAGATCCGACAAACGCCCTTCTCCCTATTAAATGAGTTTCCTTCAATGATTCTAAATAAATTCAATGGATCAATTTTTCGTTTCAGGCGTTTTTCGATTAGTAGTTTCATTGTGCTTCATTAAATTCAATCTGATGAAAGTAGGGAAATTATCAAGAACAAGATGTTTTGCTAAAATTCATGTATCCAATTATCACTCAAAGTTCAAAGGATTTATTTTCACAATACTTGAGTTAAAAGCTGGGATTATCAAGTCAAGTGATAATATAAAAATAGGAAACTTTTGTCAAACTTGACCTTTTCCGTGATAGCAATAGTGGAATCAGCAAAAGAAAAAAATGAACGGCCTGTATATTGGATATGGAGATGAATATGAGTTCATTCACACCTACAATTAAATTTTAGTGGAGACGAACCATCGACAAACAGCTGTTAGGTAATGCAGTGGTCTGAATGAAAAAATGGAATAAATCTACGATAATAACATACGTTTATCCCCCTCAAAGTCTTCACTAAGAACGAATGCCATCTGCCACCTTCTGCGTAGTATGTCAGCATCGCGGGTGGCATTTGTACCCCTGAAGTGTTCCCAAGCGTATCGATATTATAACAATCTAGGCTGTTATTTATGTAATAATTTTTTTTTCTCTTTTCGATCTTATATTTAAATTATCATATTTTCATCGTGGTGAGAATCTACCAAAAGTTAAATGAAAGTTATCAACAACTAGTTGTTTTAATTGTTCACCATTTGTTACATTTAAAAAAGAGGATTACCTAGTGTTTCTCTCATTTTTTTAAAAATTTTGTTCGAAACAGAATGAGAAGCTTTCTGGAGAGAGGTAAAACAATCGTTAATTGTTGATTATTAACAACATTTCAGAAACATATTTTTAAACGTTCGCGTATAACTGTTGTGCTGTACAAAATTTTTTATATGATGTGTTTTTGGTAATTTAATAATAGTTCTTTCTCTATAAGGAGAAAGACAATATATAAAGAATGAAATGTTTTTTTTCTGTTGAAACAGTTGAGAATATCTATAATCCATTCACAAACACTAGTTAAACCATACAGCCTAGCCGCATACTGGCAACTTTATTCGAGACACTTTTTTGTCACAAAAATAGAACATATTATTTCTTATCAGAACTGGCACACATGCGATTATAAAGTTATATTGTGGTATATACTGATCGATAGGAAATTCTGTACTCTTTACAGTGATGCTGTTCATTTTTCCAAATTTAAATTTTTTTTCTCTTCTCAGCTTATTACCAACAGTGATAGTGAGGTCAAAAAAGATAAAAATATGTCCTCAGGTTAAAGTTGAATATGAAGTTCATTATATATTATTGAAAAACATTAACAGTTGAATAAAAATATAGCATTTGAATAATCAACAGGTAGAAAAACACGTGTTTGAAATTTTCAAGCAAAACCATTACACGAAAGACATGAAAATGACAGGTGTATCAGTGTTTGCCCCAATTTCAGTAAGTACTGCCGCCATCTACTTGTGAGTTGTGAAAGCTTGTCGGTTGTTAAACAAAATTTTTATTTGGGAGGACCTTGGACTGGGAGATATCTAGATTTCATAATATGAACGATGAATTCAGAGATGTACATCTACCTAAAAAAGTAATTTATAACATAAATGCTATGAAACCACCAGTTTAATTACTTTTTTGTTTTTGTGATGAACCTTTCTATAAATTAGATTTACAAAAAAAGCATAAATGTATTTTTTTTTAAAGTCTATCTAAAACAACTACTTTCAAATACGTATATTGTAATCCCCTTTTTCTTTAAAAGTTTTGAGTGGTATTTGTTACATTTTTCTTCTTCAAATTGGGCACAAGAAAAACTAGTATTCAAATTAGAGATAATTACCTGGTTTTTCATCTTCCCGCACATAACCGCCGTACTCCTCCAATTGTCCTTGGCAGCTTTGAATTCTTCATTCAGTATTTGTAAATCTGCTTCGCTTTTCGCGTTTTTTCTTCTCTCATTCTCTAGTTCTGCGTTTATGTTTGCAACGTCGCTTTTCAGTAACGTAAGTTCGGTTTCGGCACGTTCGTGGTTTTCCAAGATGACCGACGAATTGAGGGAGTTTTGGAGTTCCGTAACTTCCGTCTTGAGTTCGGCCATTGTATTGTAGAGCCATTTCATCGTAATGACGTCGTTTTTCTCCGTTTGAGGTTTTGGAACTTTTCCGGAGGTCACGCGTTTCACTTCAGATCTGGAATTGAATATGAAGATGAAATAATAACAAATAAAAAAGAATACATCATTCGAATATAATTAATGGTATTGGCGTTCGTAATAATTTTCAATTTTTTGTATTGATTTAAAGGTCCTGTTAATTGTTAAATATAACCCACAGTATGATAAAAAAGTATAATTATATAAATTTAAAAATTAGAAATGACTGTGTAATATTGAAAGATGAAGAAACAGAATTTCACAAATTTCACTTTTTTACTCCTCCTCCACTTCCTCTTTCCCAAAAGTTTACGTTGTCTAAAAATGCATTATTGAATGTCAAGTCAGGTCGATGTACTCCATTTTTGCAAAAATTTCTTCTTTTAGTATTAATGTTCTGCGTGACAGAACATCAAATACAGAACTTTTACGTTTTCTTCCCATCGTGAAGATGTTTCAGTTTTTTTGAAAAAATATATCTTCAATGTTAGAGTACTTCAATCGGTTAACTTTCTGAATAATTCCTCATACTAAATAATTCCATATTATTTAAAATTTTTTTTTCTGGGGGACTCAATATTTTGTTTTTTGGGTTTATAACCTTCCACATTCTTTTGACTGGTGTCAAAATAAATTAGAAATATCATAGTTTGAGGCGAGATTTTCTTAATGAAAACGGAAAAGGATACCTTAACCATTTAAGAAATCTAAGTATCAATATTTAATGTTTTGCAGTTGATTTTTTTTTCAATTTGTAGGCAAAATTTATGAATACGAGACTAATTGGACTTTCCAGTAGTTTATATTACGCACTAACTTCTCGGGGTGAATTTTTCAGTATATCCTTTACTACACTTCTCTATTATTTTTTTCAGGTTCTGGAAGGTTATAAACAAAAAAAACAGTCTAAAATGGATAATTTCACAAATTCAAAGTATTTATTTTCTCTAATCCTCAAACAATTAGGGTTATTACATACTTCATTGAGAAAAACCTATGGACTTTTCAAATTTTCAACCTTCTAACTCAGTTACCCAATTTTGTTCAATAACAAAATGCATCCGTTATTATGAATACAAAAAAAAAATAGAAAATTTAGTTTTCACAAAACTAAAGTTCCTTGATAAGAATGTGGTTACGAAGTACATGCCTTCATTCCAAGAGTTTCGATTATCTGAAAATATAGATTAAGAAAAAAAAACGTTCCAAAATTTAAACGACAAAAAGATATTTGAATTCAATATAGAAAGTTAATAAAGATATGACTGTGATATTTCATTAATTTCACTTCTACATTTATTAAATTTTACGTCTGACGACAAAACTTTCCCCTTTTCAAAAATGTATTATATATTCAAACAAAAATATGTTTGCTGATTTAGGTTCTGTTTTTCTAACTATCATCAGTCTTGAAAACGGCAAAACAGCATTTTTTATTGTCCAAAATCTTATCTGCATAGTGCAATAAAATTTTCCAACGTTGCCTTAAATTTTTTATAAATATTTGAGCTTGATTGATAATAATTATGATAATAAATGATAAATAAACAATACCTTCCGTGCTGTTAGAGAGACAGCTGAGGGCCAAAAAGATTTTCAAATAGTCAAGATAACTGAATCTCTTCATAAACTTCCTTCTCAAACTTGCATCTCAAAATTAAATTCAGTTTCTGAAAACGTATAAAAAAACTGTCTAGTAGGTAAAACAATATTTTAAATATAACATTTATAATCAATTCAACGCCTATAGCGACATGATGAAATACAATGTGCTATATAAAAATATCACGAAAATAATTTCTCACAGTCTCAAATACTCACCTCAAACTTTTGATCTCATTTCGAATATCGATAATCTCCGGAGTGTCAAAAATCGCCTTCAAAATATGCTGCTCAATGGTTTTCATATCTTCCATTCTCATATCCAAAAGCGCAGTCACTTGTTTGCTTAGCACTCGGAAATCCGTTTCTAAGTCACTATCGGCGCACGTCAAACTAGTACCGATAAGGATTAGCACAACTGTAAGTGTCCACGCTTCCATGATTCCGGTACTTTTCACAGAACGTATCGAAGCACGGCACACCGAGTGTAGTACCGACCAGGGTGGTAGGTACTTTTATAGAAATAGAGGGATTGGTGGGCATGCGTCGCTTAGGGCAGGTGGTCCGTTGGATTTTTTCTTCGGAGGCAGTACCGCATTTATGAATTTCTTGACTCGTGCCCATTGTTCGTAACATATTGAAATGATGGTGAAGCAGTACTGTGGAGTTTCGTTTTATTAATTTTTGGGAGTCAATATCACAAATATCACAGACTACCAAAGATTTGATGTCTGATTTTATACAATTGTCTTGGTGCTATATCTGAAGTGTTCATTCAATATGTAAGTTCTACAGAAAAACGTTATCTACAGAGAATGAATAACTTCTATGAATCGAGAAATATCCAAATAGGGAATTGTTTCTGCTTACATTCCATTACCTGTAGCAATATTGTGTACGGATTTTGCAGTTCCCAAATATCCTACATCAATTCACACAATCGTTTATCTTGAGCAATACTCAAATTGTTGATAATTCAAGAATATATTTGAAACATATCTTTTTCACATCTAAGGATGGATTCATGCACCCAGTCTTAGGTCGTAAGTTGCATATCATGAGAAATTGTGAGCAATTTATCATCGATTTTTAATAGATACATTCATGCCCGATCATATATGTTATCTTTATATACATATTCATTATATTTTCGAGCACGAGTTGTAACTGCTATTGAATGTTCAGACGAAATTGAACATATTAGTCTGTGATTGGTGGAATCTCTGGCGTAGAATGAAACCAACTCTAATATTTTTCAGACATGTCAGAACTAGAAAACCGTCTCTCAACGTGTGTTTCTCTAACCAAGTTAGTATTGAAAGATTATTAAAACTGACTCCTTACAACTAAGTTGTATTTACATCTGAAGGAACCGATAAGTTACTTCAGTGATGAGGATCACTGGAAACAGAACAGAAACAATCGAAATCACCTCCAACCAACGTTGCAACCACAGATGAATACAAAGGTACATTTCGTTTGAATTTCTGCAAGGCACACGTTATTTGACGTGACTAATTGAATATAAATGTATACTTGGCTAGTAGATATCGTACTTGCTCATGGGCCGCATAGCACTTACGCTTGGGTGTTCATCATGAAGTGATTGTTTGATATTGTAGTGTAGTGATTCGGATAAACAAACGTTCCCCGTCCGTAACAAAATATTCAACTCGAAAGACAATTCATAACTACTCTCTTTAGCTGATTGGTAAGCTACGGTGGAGTTATAGCTATTTAAAAGTATTGCCCAGCGAAGCAATCTGTTACTTGTCAGTTTTCTTGTTTCTCTATCTCCAACAATTCTTGGGAAAAAATTGATCTCAATTTCTCATCAAGAAATGAAAGTGCTTCGGTACCTTTATTATGAATCGCCTGACCCGTTATTTGATGAAAATTAATAATAAAATTGTGTAATTATCATCATGGATGGCGGTACCTTTATTGCTATCGTCACTGGTTTTAACTAAAAATGCGTCTGAAAATTGAAATTATTATCATGGATGGTACCTTTATTGTTATCGTCATTGGTTACAACTATAAATGGCCATATAAATGGCTTTATTAGCTTATTGAACCAAGAAAAGAACCAAGTTTTCTATAGTATTCGTAGAGGAAAATATGATCTTAATTATCTGGATGCAGTCCAGCAATGAATGGAGACCTTCACAGTTGCAACATATTTTTTGCTCGTTGATTATTTTGGGAAATGCTGAAAGCAGTAACTAAAATGTCATCGAGGTATCAAATCACCACATCCAGCCCTATTAAAATCTGGTCCATCGGTAGACGTTCGCATATAGACTCGATGTGTGATAATAACTAAGTATTTTCTGCTATCAGGATTAACTGTGACTTGGTAAACTGTTGAATGTTTTTTTTCAACAACCTTCACTCAATGCTGTAATGCATAACTTCCCATTTGAAATGATTTCAGAAAATGGCATCTTCTCTAACTAACCTGTCTAAATATATACGACTGTCTTGTTGTCTGCCATAACTGACTTCCTGATGCTTTTACGATAGGCAGCGTTGATTCTTATTGTAACATGCTTATTAGATGTATAAGAAGTCGTTGATTTTCGGCTCGGATTAGTTTCGACTTTTGAGGGTCATCGTTCGTACGGAGATGACAGCATGTTAATGTAAAAGCCCATTTTATTCTTTATTCCATAATTGTCATTTCTACAATTTATATGGTTGTTACATATCATATAACACTGTACAGCAATTACCTAAGCATAAATGCTTGTAGTGCATATTTCTGCATGAGGAAAGTTAATATATTTTTTTAAATGTTTCGAGCGGTGCAAACTGATCTAGGAATTTGAAAACATTGCTTTTTTTAATAAAAACATTATAGATATATCCTATATTTTCATTGTTATTCTTTTTATTTGGTATTTGAAGGAACTGAGTTAAAATATTTTTTTTTCATTTGAAGTGGTAGTTTATTATATAGTTTCGGACCTATACAACAGAGGTTGTATAGGTCCGGTATTTCAATGGATTGGTTTGTGATAAATCGGTTTGCAATAGTTTTGATAGGATTTATAGTGGATTTGTTTTTTATGCATATATAACAGACATAAGTGCATATTATGTAGTTTGTCAATGTTGAAGATGTCTAGGTCTTCGTAAAGCCCATCAGCGGAGAAATGTTTGTTTTTTAAACCTATTTTCAGTATACAGTTTTGAGTAGTTTTCAAATTTTGTAATGCATTATTACATGATCCTCCCCATATTACTATACAGTATCTAAATAATGGTTCGAATGTCTAATATAAAACGTATCTAAATATGAACATTTTTCAATTGATTGCTTATTAGCTTTGTTGTTTGAATATTTTGCATGATCGTTCAAGTGTTGATCGACAATTACGCCTACGATATATTATTCTTTTTGGTTTTTTTGAATATATAGACAGTTGCAATTTGGTTAAGAGCATGGTTTGTTTATGAAGCATAATATTATTTCTGCTTGGTTGTGTGGCGATATTTGTAGAAAATGACTTATTCATTTTCATACACCTTCTTTATTTCACTTGATTGCCCATTTTCAAACGTGATTCAATTTTGATACGTCATAATGGTAGTGATCCTGATTAAACATACACATTCCAATTAGAAATTGCTAATATATATTTGATCAACAGCTGAGATAAAGTCAGAACTTTATTATTATCTCATAAAGACAGGATATAATACGGTTTTTATGAAATTTGTTGTCGGATTCCGAAACGAGAAAGCAAACAATTTTTCCCGCTACCAATATTGCGTTAGAAAATCCAATTTCGGGCTCTTCGCAGTATTATCTTTCTCCTTCGACCGTGCCCATGAATGCGGCCCTGACTAGTGGCAACATTTGCCGTACCTGCATATCACGATAATGATATTGAGTGTCTTGTATATAGATTGGCCTCACCTGCCAGGCAGATGTTGTGAGGAATCGTTTCCCAATTTTGTACCAGCCTACGTCGAGATACGATCAAAAAGATGTGTTCGAAACATTCATCTCACCGTTGGCGTTTCGGCTACCGCGTGACATCGAGGTTGTTTGTTTGCTACTCAATATTTTTTAAATTTATTATCCATGGACAATGATGGTATTTTGTTCCTCTGGAAAACAAACGGTGAAATCTTGAAATACTAGATATCGCATACTAAAAAACAACACATGTTTATTCTGCCAATGAAGCCAATGAAGGTCTTCACTTTTTATTGGTCATCAGGGACAAGTCCGATTTTAATGATTCTTATATTGCTCTAACAATATAAAGAGATTTATGGAAAAGTCAATTTTTTCATTAGATTTATTGAATACTGAGGATGTTAAGAATACTTTTTTTCATGAATAGTCACGTTGACGATAGCGTTGTTGATTTGTGTGATAGGTAAAGTTCAATAATTTTGTACTTTCACTGCCAAACTGTGTGAACGCTATTTTCCGGTTTTTTTGGCTTTGGTCTGCAGATTGTTATGCCTGAAGTTTTGTCTACTACTGTACAGGAAACCAACACACACAAACAGGTATCTCAATAAAAACTCTAACCACCAGTCACAACAAAAGAAAGGGATAATTGAAACGTTGTTAGAGAGAGCACGACGTATTTGTGAACCTGAGAGTCTTCCTGAGGAACTCAATCACCTAAAAATGCCTTCAAAGGGAAAGGGTACAGCGAAGGAGAATTCGTGCTTTGCTGGTCAATAAAAAAGCTTTCCTTCCCTATGTTGAAAATGTTACAGACCGGATTGGGAGAATCTTGGAGAAACACAAAATGAAACCAATATTTAGGCCAACAAAAACTATCAGACGAAGACTAAGGACAGCTGAGGACCCGAGATAATCTTTAGCAACACTTGAGGTATACCGGATTCTTTGTAGTTGCGAGTTGGTTTATATTGGAACCACTAAAAGAAGTGTGGGTACCCGTCTCTCTGAACACAAGAGAAATTGCCGACTCAGATAAACCGACAAATCTGCTGTAGCCGAACATGCTTTTAACCGAAAGGCAATCACATTTTCTCATTTGAAGATAGGGTAACACTCTATAAAACTCAAAAATACTATCCAAGAGTATATAGAAACTCAAAAACACAGGTATAATTTCAATAGATGAAGAAGAGGCAATCAACATCAATAAAATTTGGCTACCTGTTCTTGTAGGTACACAAACAAGGAAAGGTTGTCCAATTGAGAGAACAAAATTCATGCCCACTAATAATAAAATAAAACCAGAGTCAAATACCAGCATCGTAGTTAATGCGATCAGAACGACGTAACAACTCGAGCACTGCGACCGTTCGCACATCTCCTTTGATTGTGTCTACCGCAGTAGTAAACGAAAAGTCAGACATGAAAACCTGCAGACCACTGCCAAAAAACTCGGAAATTGCTTTCATACAGTATACGATCTCTATTGACAGAAGGTGTAAATGGGACACTGATATTAGGACTTCATTGTCCATTTATCAGTCTTTCTATCCTTGATATATAGACACTCGACATATTGACAGATTGCGTGTTGTTATTGCCTTTATCGGTGAAATTGGCCTATGTTGTAAGAAACCGTTTTTGGACATCTCTGATTCACAATTGTCCAACCTTATTATTATCAAATTTCGAAAAGGAACTGCATACCTATATTGTCGAAGAGGGGGTCGAAGAGAGGAGTGGCTGGATGTAAAGAAAATCTGCTCATCGATAGATGTGTGACGCAGGACTAGATACAGTATAAGCGTAACCTCTCTATGGCCTGGATCGATTATCGTAAGGCATTTCGTACAAGATTGCATGAACTCATCTTGCATTTGCTCAGATGCCTTGCGGTACCCGACAAAATGGTGAGATGCCTTGTACAACTGATACCACTCTCATCATCATAACATCTGGTCAGGCTAGAGTTTAAACAGGGTAAATTACTTTCAGAAGTGGTGTATTTCAAGGCGATTCCCTCAGTCACCTTCTATATTGCATCTCACTATTGCCATTATCCGTTGCGTTCAGAAATACTCGAGGGTATAACTGTGGCACCTTCGGAAACCGGAGGCACAAGGTCACCCATTTGTTCAATATGGATGATCTTAAACTTCATGCCTCTGGAGAGAAGAATCTCTATCAGTCCTTGGGGGTGGCGGAAGAGTGCACGCATGATATCGGTATGAAATTCGGGATAGACAAATGTGCAATTATCCATCTTTTAAGAGGACTATGCAGTCACTACGTAGATGGAAGCATCCCGCACCATCTGAATGCCGAAGAGATGCATACTTACCTCGAGGTGGAACAACGCCACCCATAAGAGCTGACACCAGTAGAGAACTCTTTCCGCAGCAAGCACAAACTCCGACAGTTCTGGTCATCGAAAGGGACGGGAAAGAACAAAGTTGCTGCAACAAATATGCTAGCCGCTCCATCCTCACTCTACTCAGTTGGAGTAGTGGCGTTTGATTCGAGAGGAGCTGTATCAACAAAAACGGATTAAATATCGAGATTTTCTCTTCGAACTCCGCAGACTCTATCCAGACCACTCTGTCAAGATGGTTGTTCTGATTATTGGAGTCCTTGGTGGAAGGGTGCCATCTCTACTCTCGAATCTCAAAACCATACCGGCTTGTCGCACTAAGGCAGACATCTCAGCGGGACAAATGCAGAAGACTGTCTTCTTGGCTCACTGCGCTTGCTCAGGGCACATGATTCTCGGACACAATGATCTTACCCAATGCTGTGGGCGCCTTACTGAATGTATCGAGTCTCCAGGAGATAGGGGCTGACCAGCGTCATTTTGAACCATTCTCAATGGTTCAACAAACCGAAACCGGTCATAACAAATAATAAACTAAGTAGAAATTATGTGAAAGCCTACATTTCTATATTAGGGAAAATTATAAAAAATTAGTTTCTTTATTCAATATTCAATATGAATTTCTACAAAATAAATATGTCATCAATCGAACAAGTTATCAAGTTCACTTTGAATCTATTATTTAATGAATCATTAATGAAAATAAGTCAACAAGAATGTTACTCCCCGTTTTATTATTTTTTTCAAATTCGACATATTTGTAAAAAACTAAACCCAACTTTTTTTTCAGTTAATTGTCTATAACTTTTGCAATTTTTGCATGCGACACTTTGAATTTTTGAAAAAATCATGAACACGCTATTCCGAATCGAATGACACATCTTTCATATTTTTCGGAGGCGGAGAAAATAACTTTTGATCTAAATTAAATCTAGAGGTTGGAATCCACTTCTTTATTCAAAAAATATTTCAATTTTGTATTTTTTTGGGGGTAAATACTTTCAAAGTATTTGAATGCCAAAACTGAATGCCCTTTATGCTTTTGGATTTTTTTCTAGAATGATAATGTCTCTCATTGAACGGCCATCTTAATACAGCATAATCAGAAAAAATTATACTTACGCATTTATAGACTGAAATTTACTCTCTTAGTTTTCAGCATAAATTAGTTGAATCGCTAAAATATACGTTTCCTAAATAATTTTCCCTTAACGGAAAACGCCCCGTAATTTCTCCTATAATCAACATGTTACACTTACGAGCTTTACTGGTTGTTTGTCTGTATCTAAATACACCTTTGAACCGACATTCTAGAGGACTCTCAACCCCACTTGAATGAAAAATCGTTAAAGCCTTTTAATTACGGTCATTTGAAACTTCTGACCGCGAGTCAGAGTTCACGAATGTTCGTTAGGGTAGTCTAAGTACCAACGGAAAAAAAGAAGTCGTTCGCCCTCTAATGGAAATTTACGTATTTTAAAAGGCACTCGACTGTGTCAACTATATTCATGTGGAAAATGTTTTCGTTGTAATGTGATACCACCATTGTCAATTTCCTGAATGGAATGCATTGTCAATCACGGCTGTTAAATTGTAATATAGACAATGCGGGCCTATTAATGAACCTTCCCTAGAATTACAGCGGAACTGGGGATTTTTTCAAAATCATGATGAGGATAAAGATTGCACATGGGCTCCTAATGCACTTGACATTTCTATACAATTTTCTCTAGTTAAGTAAATTAGAGGCTAAATGAAAATTATAATGTATGATCCAGATAATTACTTTGAAAATATATAACGGTTCAGAATGTATTAAAGGTCGTTATATAGAAAAATCAAATACGTTTCGATAAAAAAATTGATAGTGTCGTCTCTTCTACCAAAAAGTACTAAAAATGATTTCTTTTCATACAATTTTTTTCTAACTTTGATATCTATTTACGCCCGCTCTGTATAAATATCATAAACATTATTAAAATAATACAGATAATTCTGTTTCTGCTCCAAAACAATTCTGAATAATATGAAAAGGAGACAGAAGTTTGAACATAAAATCACCGGAATAAAACGGTTCTTGAAGAAATTCGAAGAAGAAACTTCATTGACTTGACTAAATAACAGCTTTGACCGATCACGACTTCCATCGCAGATGCTGAAAATGATAATTTCGCATCTCAGCTTTGAGCAATTAGCTGAAACAACTCGACGACAACATCTCTGGAGAACAATTTTCAGCATGATTCAATCTATGTACCGTTTAAAGAGCTAATTGAAATCTAGTTAATTGGTGTACATTAATTAGCTTATCAAACTCGTTGAAGAACGAACAAGGACTCACTTCTCGAATCCGTACCGGTGCATGACATATAATTGTGTCAAACAATTCAGTTTTAATGAGCAATCAGTCTAGTTACGGTTTGGAAAATGTATGATTTTGTTTATATTCCCGTAAAACATTGTACATCGAAGCGCAACACACTCCAATTTTATCGGAAACTTTCGATACGACTTCGTCGACAGTCGATGTCTTTATTTCTTCCATCTCTTTCTTGAACACATTCAAAATCACTTCTTTCATCTCAACACTCGAATGTCTTTTTTTGGATCGTTTCCTGGCTGGACTCAGAGGATAGCTCACAGTGTCATCAGCAGTGTCTGTACTGGACATCTTGGATAACAATTTTAAACAATATACTATAACGCACGCCACACAAACACGCAAACGACTGATTACAACCCTGTGCTGGTACCAAACTCGTACCAAGAAGACGAATTCACCAATGAACGCTGCCCTTTCCATCTGACACTGGGCGATCACGTGAACATCACGCTTCGGTTTTGTTTTGTTTTACTCTATCTTGGATTTGAATAGACTTTAGTGTTAATGAACGCACTGATCGACGTTGATTTGCGAATTTTCGTTCCGAAGATTTCAGCCTCGAAAATGAGCACTGAAGTGGTCGATCTACAGTAAGCCAAGATGAGGATTTGAGATGCCACCCATTACAAATGGTGCGTGGGATGGCATAAGAACTGGGCGTCAGGTTCCAAGTGGTTTTTGATTGTTCAAAACGTATTGGAACGTTGAATAGAACTGGCCGATACTTGATGAAAATCCATACTTCTCTGAAGTAACTTTTAGTTTACGCTTGAGAAAGGTATTGTATAGCGAAACACGTGTCGCGGTTTTTGCAAAACTCCTTTATAGTGAAAATCGTACAATAAACTGTATTAGCTTAAAAAATGGGTGCCCCACGATTTGAACTATTGACAGAAATTGTCACGTTTCGAAGTCTGTTTCTCTTTCCTTGTGGGCAACCAACATGATCCTTTTTTGGATCGGAACGTCACGTGTGAAGAAGAGTGGAATCTCTACGACAACAGGAGACGTTCGGGACAGTGGTTCAACACCGATGAGCCACCCAGGCACTTCCCAAAGGCAAAAACCCAACAAAAAAACAAAAAAGACCATGGTTACTGTAAGGTGGTCAGCGGCTGGTGTAATTAACTATAAATAGACCGGGATCCCTCGCCCTTTTTCGTAAGTGATTACTAACAAGCTAATTTTTCGTCAGTAGCTTCATTTTGACGAGACGCCCAACATTAGCTAGTACAAAAATTTCGTAAGTGGTAGCTAACAGGGGTAATGAGGACATAATTTGTTGATTTAGTGGTTATCAAAAATTCATTACTAACTGGTTTTTTTATTTCTAATTCTCATAATAATGATCTAAATTAGCCGAATAAATATTTGTCCTACAAAATGCTAGGTTTGATCAAAGAGGTCCCATTTTTGCAACATGTACTATTTGCGAGGTCATGAAAAATAATTACTAACCAGCTGATTTTTTTTTGGTTGGTTAGTTAATTATTATATAATTTAACGCCCACATTGTCCTACACATTACGTGGTACATTTTTCTAGTCCTAGACTCCTAAGTTGTCCATACCACAGGACCATTTTTTTTATTAGTAACTGTAGGACAAAAGTATCACGTGATACATTAGTGTGTTTTTTATCTGAATAAAACAATGTCCTACAAAAAAACTGGTATGCATCCGTAGTCCTACAATAATCGTAATTTTCCTTTTTCCTATGTGCAACATGAGGTAAAGTGAAAATATATTTATTGAAATAAATCAACTTTATTATGTAACATACATGAAAAAGTAGATACTTTTATACCAAAAAGAAATTAATTTTCATCTGACTCATCAGAGAAACATTCATCCTCACTACTGGCATCACTCTCCTCATCTTCATCAGTATCTTCTTCATTCTGATCTTCCGTGGTATCTAAATCTGTAATAATATAAAAAAATTAATTAATGTCGCTGAAAAATTAAAAACCAAATTTCAATAATATTAATAGGGTACCTTGCAATTGAGAAGATAATTCTTCAAAGGATGGGCTTTGAGGACCATCAAACCAATAATACTCGTATTTACCATCAATTATTGTCCATCCATAATTTTCAGGTACTTTATCTGTGGGGCACCGCATGTGTGCATTACACCATACATTGCTGATGAATACTGTTCTTTTAATTTGTTGCAACAATTCTTGTTTTGTTGGTGGCAAACTGGAAGGATCATATCCAATAATATTTTTTTTTAATACTTTTTCACTTCCACTTTTTGATCTATAGCCTTTTTCAAATAGTTCATACCGTCCTCTGTTGATATCATTTTTGGTTTTTAATGAGTACACTCTACATACATACTCTTCAATAATTCGAACTATTTCATTTGACGTTGTTAATACTGTATGATCACTTCGTAGGAGTTGAATAAAAGCCTCTTGAAAATTTTTATTTTTCTTAAAAATACTGAAAGGTCTTTTTTTTCCTTTACGGAAAAAAGCGGGATTGTAATCATTTCCTGTAAAAATATGGCATATAGCAAATGAACACGATAATTGATCTCCAAGCTTGGCATAAATTTCATTTATGTTCAGGTACATTTTTTTTTTATTAGTGCTTAAATTAATTATTACTTGTATTTCATCTTTTAAATACTTGAAATTTGCCAACATTATTATTGGTATATCAGAATCTGTACAATGTATCTGCACACGATAGTTACGATTAAATTGACAAACATGGTACACAATTTTGGTGTCAGCTTCTTCATGATAACAAGAAAGATTATAATCAATAATTCTTTTTATTTTATTATCACTAGACACCTCATAAGTGTAACATTGATCATAATTAAGTTTAACAGTCTTCCCTTCAATCAAGGTAAAAAATTCATCTCTTGTCCAATCTTCAATTAAAAATTCGACAAATTTTTCTTTAAAGTTGCTACTCCTCAATAATTTGCAGAAATCCGCAGGACGATTATTGTCTCTACGTATTACGTCATACTGTGTATCCTCTTCACCTCTCAGATCATGTTCAAAATCTTTGATACTGGGTTTTTTGTACTTGTCAAATATAATATGTACTTCTTTTTTATTATATGTAAGTATTTTTAATATATGTTTCGAGATTTTACCATAATTGTTTGGAACGTTTTTCAGCGTATGTAATAAATAAAATCCATCAATTAAGTGAATGTCTGCTTCTGGAGGATTTTCAATTTCGGTTTGATATTCTAGTAATTCATTAATAATCACAGATTTAGGGGTCTTGCATATTGATCCATTAGTATGACAGAGTGAAAAAGGAACAGGAGCTAGAGGATAACTTAATGCTTTTTCTATATCAATTTTATTTTCTACTGATGCATAAAGTAAACGGCCAAAAACATCTCTTTGCATTTTAATTTCTTTGACTTTTTCATTAATTTTGACTTTTTTCGTATTCTTGTACTCAAAATTCATAATTTTATTTTTACTAATGGCTTTATCAAACCTATCTGGTGTTATCCGAGTCTCAGTAATGAAATTCTGATGCTGTTTTTCACCCTCTATTTCAACTGATGATAAAAATTGATATATTTCATCGCTAACGGACTGACCTTTCGATATATTGTAAAGATAATTTTTTGGCAGATCGAACGAGAAAGGGTCGGTGTACTGCTTTATTAGTTGCATTAATACTTCTAAGTTTTTCGTAGCTTTCTTAATGGATGACTCCTTTAAGTCTTTCGTTATGTCATCGGTGGATTTCATATTACAAAACTCCATCATTTTTGATATAACACTCGTACGCAGTGAATGAGTAATTGACCATTTTTGTCGTGCAGAAAACGAGTTTGTAACGTTAATAATTCCAGAAGCTTTAGAAGCAGCAGCAGCATTGATTGTTTGTTCAAGTGTTAAATCAATCGGTATTCTTGAAAATGGTTTAATTGTTCTGCGAATGCCCAAAAAACTTTTTTGACAATCGTCAAGCAATCCAGGATGTGTTGTTTCAATATTTTTCAATTTATCCCAATAAACAGACATATACCTTGCATAANCATTATTATGAGAATTAGAAATAAAAAAACCAGTTAGTAATGAATTTTTGATAACCACTAAATCAACAAATTATGTCCTCATTACCCCTGTTAGCTACCACTTACGAAATTTTTGTACTAGCTAATGTTGGGCGTCTCGTCAAAATGAAGCTACTGACGAAAAATTAGCTTGTTAGTAATCACTTACGAAAAAGGGCGAGGGATCCCGGTCTATACCACTCTCAACTTGGATATTTATTATTTGTGAACGTTTTAATCACACCTCTTGCACATGCTCCTCTCTCACGTTGGGAGGGTGAATAATGAACCGATCTCCGCTTGGTAAATTCCGAATATTTACCATAAACAAGGAGAGTTCACTCCTTATGTTGCCACTTCCTTTGGGCGAGTAAATAATGAAGACGCGTACTACGTAACAGCTGGTGTATTATTCTTAGTTTCAGCAAACAGGTAGCTGATTGGGGACTACCTTGCTTGACTGAGTTGCATTTACGTTAACGAACATGCCAATCACGAAAGGTGAATTTCCATACAGTGAGTCCAATTGTTTTCAGAAATTCCCTTGAAGAAGTTATATTTCTTAGTATATCTCTCCCGTACAAACTTCTATTTCCAATGGAAGTTGTGAGATTGTTCTATTCGCCGTATTGCGTTATAAACGAGTTATAGTAATAAGACCAGGCCATGAGCGAGACAATATGCGTTTCGTATTCGATATATGAAGGATTACAGAGAGATCCATAAGCACTGTAAGGATATGTGTTAGAATGTTTTCTTAATTTTTTAGGTCAAAAGCACAATTGAAATTGATCCAAGAGTTGTGCTTGAAACTTAACTCATAAATATGAATATATGGACTAAAGAGAGCTTGATTTCTCCCATGTCTTTTATATCGAATGGTTTTAACGAAGATTATTCAACAAAGTACATTTCTGTATTATTATTACTTATGAGAAGGAGATCATCCACATAAATTAGGATTTATATCAAAATTTGGTCTTTTATTTTTGTAAACAGACATTTTTCTGATTTAACTGCAGTAAAACCTTCTTGAAGCAGGATGGTTGTTTAAGCTACGATACCATTCTCTAGATGATTGTTCCAAACCATAAATGATTTTATTTAGTTTACATACTTTGTGATCATCTTCACAACCTGGTGGTTGTTTCATACAGTCTCAGTTAAATTTCCATTTAAAAAGGCTTTGAAATTCATTTGGTGAATAAGGAATATGGAAAGGAAAACCGTTTGTCAACTAACCTAGCTCTATACCTTCTGATTTGTCCATGTTCATTACGTTTTAGAAGAAAAAAAACATTTACAATAGATAGCACTTCTACCTGGTGGTAAATTTACCATATTTTATTTCTTTCCATTGCCTCTAATTCTTCTTTCATAGATACCTATCAGGTTGCAAAGCTCAGATGATAAGGAGAAAAAAATGTTATATAATATGTACCTTTTCATCGGTGGGGGAAGCTGCTATAGATTATTAAATATGTAAAAAAAACTGTTGCATGGACATACTCGAGGGCGTCAGATATTGATACCATCAATGTCCTACGTATTTTTAATAATGTTGGTATGTTAATCTGATCGTTTGCATGATGTGGGTGGTTGTACGTAAGGGTTAAAAATGAAAAAAAAATATTGAGCGCGTCAGATTTTCTGAGGGGGTGTTAAGTGTACCAAAAAAAGCTCTCATTCAATAATCTGACGATTTAGATCTGACGCAAACTTGCGGCCATTATTGTTATGTGCAAAAAAATCATCATTTTGAAATACTCAAGTGCGTCAGATTAAGATATAATATGGTTCATCTTTATGTTTTAGACGTGCTGTCTCATAATCTGACGATTATCTAGAGGGATTCGCCCAATCTGACAAAAAATATTTTTTTAAATTTTTTTTAATCATTGAACTCAATTAATTGAAAAGCTCAGGAAATAGCATGCAAATAAATTAGTGTATGTTTTTTAAGTAGAATACTTGTATTTATAAAAAAAAAATAATTTAAAAACAATGCTCAAAAAAATTTAATTTATTGAAGAAAAGAGAAATGAAACTTTCTATGTTTTCAACCACTTTTATTTGAAACTAACGTTCCTACAGTTACTTATACACTATATAAGTTTGAAAATGTCCTTATAGGACGAAACTGCAGTAACGTTAGTTACAAATGAAAGTGGTAAAAAACCGAAAATTTCTTTTCTCTTTTCTTCATTATGATTTCCTACCACGTAGTAACGGCTACATCCATCAATTATTTGAATAATTAATCATCATCTTCATCTTCATCACGAACGAGTCTCTGTGATCAGCTGTGATGGCAATAGAATTCAGAGTGGGGACGGAGTGAGAGAGTAATAGATAGAGAAAAAGTGAAAAAGGAATAGAAACGCGGAGAGGGAAATATAGGCATCACGAAACTGAACGCATCAAACTTTCTCGACGAATTTTTGGTATTTCGGCTTGCGGACTATATATTTTTCGATAACCTTGAATTATTTTCATCAAAATAAAAAAAAATTAGCTACGCTCGAGAGTGTCGAGACGTTTTTTCTACAACTTTGCTGCCCTCCCCTTTCTTTACGTCACTCTCAAATTGTCAGATTACTGGAATATACACTTTTTAGCATGTAATTAACTCACCCTACCTATATCTGAGGCGCTCGAGAATTTCTGATGATCAATTTTTTTTTTACTAATCTGATCCCTTATCCTTCACGGGCGGTCTTATATATTGGGCTCATATTTGGTGGGGGTACTTAACCGGGACCAAGGTATCCCCCTGTATATTAATCTGCCGCGCTTCAGTAGATCCCGAAATCCCCGCTTGGGCTCCCCTATTATTGTCTTTTTCCTTAAAACTCTGTCTGTGTGATTGACTAATTCATTTATACTTTCATGAGTGTCTGCATCTATATAATTCACAGCGTACAATGCATAAGCAACATAATTTTCTTTTTGCTATGCAGGCTTCTAAATGTTTCTTTTCTGTCTAACTTCTTCCATTTCATAACTTTCCGCTTGGGGTTCTTTTATTTCAGGTCCTTCCAATTTTCCTTGTTGTATGATTGAGTGATTGTTGTAAAGAATGAATACGTTATGCATATATTTCGAGTCTTCATCAAAAATCAAAATGGTAATTTTGTTTCTTGACATATTCCACAGCTAATAACCATTTGCTACATATCCAACCATCAAAAGTTTTCACATTTCTCATCTATTTTACTTCTTTTTTTATTTGGGATGTGGTTATACACCATTGAACTGAAAACTCTCATCTCATAATCAAGCAGGAGTAGTATTTTCAGCATGGACTGATTTATTGGGTGTTCCATTAATAACGTAAGCTGCGGCTCTTACAGCTTCTCCACACATACATTCAGGTAAGGTATTGTCTGCAATCATTTGCCTGGCTTTATCTGATTTTTAATGAACATCACTACTTATACCTGATACATAACGACATGAATGTGACATATGACGTGGAACATAAAACCATAGAACTCCAACATTCTGTAGGTCTGGCCTCCAAGGACTTTATTCTGTTCGCAGACCTCAAAAAAATGCTCACCGATAAGAAATTTCGTTCGAATCAAGAGGTCATTGATGAAACTGAGGCCTATTTTAAGGCAAAAGATGAATCGTTCCACAAAAGTGGTATCAAAATGTTAAAACGGCGCTGGAATGATTGTGTGACTCTTGATAGAGATTATGTTGATGGATAAAGCTAATTTTGCCAAAAAAAGCGGGACTCTTCAACCCATGTGTTATTATAAAAAACAATAATAGAACAGATCAGAACTGTCAACCAACAACAATCAGGAGGCAATGGAGTTTATTAATAATATCATATAATGAATTGAGAAGTGATTTAAGAAATGAGAACATAAAAAAGACTCAATCCACGAATATCAAAGATAAATTAAGCTTCCCAAGGGTCACTTTCAAGCAATGCCGCCGAACAAGATTTCTATTCTATCTTCCACAGAAGCTTTTACTGCAAGGCCACTACATAAAACCAGAGCCAAAAAAATTCATCATCTAACTCAAAAAGTGCTGTTTCAACCCAACAAGGTATCACTAGTGGCGCTAGGATGAACCAGGAATGCATGGCAGAATTCCAAGACTAGAAAAATGAAGACCATTACTCTCATGAAAACCACTCAATCCACGAATATCGAAGATAAACGCGGCTCCCCAAGGCAGTCCGTTGCAACGCCAAGCTTCGACATTGACCGCAAATGAGATTCATCCTCTGCCTTTCACAGTAGCCTTCACTGCAAGGCTACCAGTTATAATAAATGACAGTTCAAAACACCTTTCCTACTTTTCCTACAAGATATAGTAAATGTATGCAGGAAAACAACTATACCTGGCTAATACAATGACGGGTATTGGTTTATATTGTACAAGTTGAAGGGTAAACCGGTTCGTTACCTAACGCATAACGACGCCAGTTTGTCTGGCTTTCCTTTCACTCAAGCATACGTCAGCGGAAGGCAGGCTCCTCCTCTCTCGTCAGCCAGACTATCAGTGTCTGATGTGCGTTAGACATGTACTGTTGACAGTATTATAAAAATCTAAAAATCAGTATTATAAAAATCTAATATTAATGTGTTTTGTGTAACATGAAAAATTAAAATTTATACATGCATACATACTGATATATTAATTGATTTTTGGGCACGATTTGATTTTAATTTCCCAATTATATTATGATTTTCTTGAAAAAATTTTCATCAATTCCAAACCCTGACAGATACTATTCTCATTGGTGTCGCACCCATTTCAATTCACGCAACGTAGTGTATCAAGTGGGCGGTTTGGAGCACCATTACCCATTCATTTCGGGTCTTTAAAAACACATTATTCAGATTTATAATTACCATGGTCAAATCACCATTTCCAGTATGAACGCATTTGGTATTATAATTACTGTTTTTAGTAGATAGTTAACCATGCCGGGAATAAAAAAACTTGTTTA